GATCTTGAAATGTACTTTTGGACAATGAACAGGACGCCATTCCTCTTTAATCTGTCATTCCCAGCATAGTAGGCCATGTGACTGTCTCACTTGAAATGGCCAATACCGGTCCGTTTCAGCACATGAATGCCAGGATGGATCTTTATGCATTCCATTTAATTACGGATAACTTCCTGTTTTCCTGGATTCATACTTCCTACATTCCATGTCCCAATTATTAATGTTTGCAGCTGTTTCTTCCCATTTTGAGTCAGACCCCATCAGCAAATGGAGGTCCTAAAAGCTTTATAGCATCCACATCATTAAGGTTGGCTCCACTCTGAGGAGGCATTTGTATTTTGAGCGCCTTCTGACCTGAGAGGCTCATCTTCCAGCACTACATCAGATGATGTTTCAGGGCTAATCACTGTTAAGCTGTTGTTGATAAGTTTTCAGTGGCCAATTTTTTCAGAAGTGGATGGTCCCTTCCTCCTTCCAAGTCTGTCACTCTGGAAACTCTGCTGAAAACTGTCCACCATGGGGGAGCCGGCTGGTACTTGAAACACCAGTGGCATAGCTCTAGCCTCACAGCAACACGCAAGCCAGCCCAGTGCAACAAACGGACAGACAGGTGGTGCAAAAGGAGAAACACCTTTTATAATTCATTCATTTACGTATAGGAACCTAACTGGGAAAACTGACCCAGCTAGCCAACATTAAGACATAGTCTACAAAACAACTGGACTTCAAAGAAAAAGGAAAGCAAAACAAAAACCTCTAGGCATCCAGACAAAAAGACGAAGTCACTAATCAGAGGTTCTGAATATAGCTTCGAACATCACCAAAGATAAACAACCAGACTTCACCTACCTCCTGACAGAAGTACACAATCTACCTAGGAAACAGCTTTTGTCTCCCCCACTGCACCAAACCTCACAAGGGTTTGATCAAGCCGTTGGACCTATACGATCAAGCCATTGGACCTATATGATCAAGCCCTTGGACCTATATGATCAAACCCTTGGACCTGTATGAACAAGCCCTTGGACCTATACGATCAAGCCATTGGACCTATATGATCAAGCCCTTGCACCTATATGCCAATTTCTGAAAACAGAACACAGAGGACCAAAACCAGAAGGAAACCCACTGCTGTGAAGCTGATTCTCGAGCCAACTGCAAATTGCATCAGGGCAGTAGAACTGTTCCGTGGGGTCTTCCTAGCTGTAATGTTTATGGGACAGATCACTAGCCCTTTCCTCCACTGCTCCTGGTGGGTTCAAACCATCATCCAGAGA